GCCCAAAAAAGCTCTTGATCAGAGATTGCTGGAGGAAAAGCTTCCCAGACGCCGTTTAATAGGCAGCAATCACCCCAGGAGTGGGGAAGCCAAGTACGCTTGAAACATGGTTGCAATTCCTAATAGGTCTTGTCACACTTAAGGCACTGCAAGCTCCATCCAACGAACAGCTGAAGCTAGCTGGCGATTCATAAAGCCAACAGTTTAAAGTTTATTATGATGAAAGCACTTAATGACAGCCATCGCTAGGGGCCCATCATTTATAAAGCTGTGCTGAGTATTAGACATGTAGCATGACCACCAATTTTATGTCACAATTGCTACCATAAAATGACCTTTGGTGATTTTTGCTGCATGTGGTGGACAGCTCTTCCTTCACATTAGTGCTCTGTGGCTTTCTTTGCAGACTATTATGCTGTCTAAAGCTTATTTGGCACTGTCGTGAGCCTCAACCCTTGTTATTACCCCGAAGGCCTGTCTTAAAAAAAATCATGCTCTATTACGCCACTCCAATAATTTACAGTTCTTACCAGCCTTGGTTAGTGTAATATTTTAATGCAAATATGCTTTACCACTGCATTTTATTTAAAAAGAACAAAGTTCCCATGCTTCTGGCTAGTGCAATATCCACTTGATGGGAGTTCACCGAAATCAGCCTCTTATTCCTGGGTCAGGTCCCCTTGCATGGGCACACTTTTCCCTGGTCGGTTAAAACACCTCCAGGAGGGGGAAAAAAAAAAAAAAGAGGTTAATTAAACTTCTCTTGAGAAAAAGACATTTAAAAAAAAAAAAAAAAAGATCTTATGTGTGATAAACCCACCTAAGGCAGAAACACCAATCCTTCCTTATTTCCCTACATCCAGTCCCAATGCAAATTTACATCTGAGTAACATTATTTAATTAGGATTCCATTTTCCAACCTGCTTTGTGTAGTTAGAAAGTGTTTGAAATCACGGCCACTTTACTGCTCCGATGCAAACCGCTGCTGAGAAAGTGGTCTGTCCATGCTACACCACCTTTAAATTGTGTATATAATTTTATAAATGATATAAAATCTGCTTCTAGTCCCTGGGGGAAAAAAAAAAAAGAAAGAAAGAAAAAGAAAAAGAAACACAAGCATGGCACACTGCAATTTTGGAAGGATTTAAAATATGTGATTTCTGCTGGTACCTACTGTATTGGGTTTTATATAAAGCTTTTTTCAATAAGGTAAATTGTTACATGACAAACTCATCTTCCACCATTATCATCTGCTGTTTGTGTTTAACAACAGGAGTCCCGCTCTAACAAAACTGTTGTAATGGCTGTACAAATTACTCAGCTGAAAGCTTTTCACCAAACAAAACAGTATTAATCAGCAGTTCTTATGAAGGTGCTAATTAAAAACAATTTTCTTCCTCAGTTTGCAATACTAAAGCCATCTTCACTTGCACAGTTTCCAATATACAGCTACTGTATTTGCTCACACTTCAGGCCCTCTATTAACTATTGAATCTCCTATTAGCCATTTTATTACATTTCTGTTCACAAGTTTGTTGACATTTTAAAAGTCACAGTATGATCTGTTTTATCTATTAAAAAATGTATTAATTGAAAAGTCAGGGGGACAAAAAAGGCAAAATGTAGACTCCAAATGCACAGACTTCCAGGGCAGAGAACACAGCGAGCATTTAGCCAGGGCAGTGTGCTCTCTAGGTAAAACAAAACCTGAGAATTAAAAATGGCATTTCCAGGTTGAATGGTTTGTTAAACACCAACAGGCTCCTTCCTAATTTGGAGGTAGTCTCTCAGGAAAAGATATTTGCCCTCTGTCTAGATTCAGTTTCGAAGGAGACCTAGTCTGACTTTCAAATCGATCTTTCCGCTATGTGGTACAATTGGCAGAAGTACGACACTTCATCCAGTCTGAACTCAGGTTTTGATCTGGGGTGGAGTCTGGGAACTGGAGCCCAGATCTAGGGTCTAAAGAGCTTAATCTTCCCTATAAGTGTGTGTGTACATATGTGTGACCACATACACTTAGGTTCCCGTGTGGCTCTCCTGCCCCCTCCCCCAGTCAGTCCTGCTGGACAATGCCACAAAATTGTTGGGCTAGATTGCAAACAAGTCAAATGCTGACTAAACACAAAGACAAACTCGGAAGCTGGGTTGAGAGAAGGGAATAGTATTTCTATTTAAAAAACAAACAAACGAAAAAACAAAAGTCTAACCCTTAGGGGAAGGTATGCCCCACTTTGGCAGTGGAAAGAAGAAAAAAACAAAACACCACCACAACAACCTCCTGCCTATGGTATTAAAACCAGGTTCTTCAACTGTCAAAAGCAGTTAACTAGTTTAGGACAGACACCTGGCTGTTGCAATAGGGCTCCAGAGGGCCACTAATCCTTCCATTCACTCCGTTAACTGCTGGATCCCCCAAATTGATTCAACAGGTATGCAGTGGTCAATTCAGCCCTTACTGAAGCCAAAGGGAAAATCAGCAAGGGGCGGGCAGCTCTTCTCTGAAAACACCCGAGGAACCAGCCAGAAAAGCTTTTATGGCCCAGACAAGTTTTCTGTTGAATACTGAGCACCTAAATTACCCTTCCCTAATGGAAGTTACATTTTCATGCTCAGTCAAAAAGCCAACAAAATACACAATTTATACAAAATAGCATCAACCTCTTAGTCTTTTCTAGCACTTTCATTCCAATTCACAGCCTATATCTTGCTATAAAATAAAATATATTTCTTATAACCAACTTATATGTGGCTGTTCACTTCACCGCATTAGACTGACCATGGGTGATATTAGAAACATTCTTATATCAAACCAAATCTTCTTAGAATGACAAAGGAACATTATGAGTTTTATCAGAAGATACAGGTACATGGGGAGGAGGAATATCATAATAATTCTTATGATTTCCTGAGCAGATAGACTTCCTTTTGAAACAAACACATACCTAATTACATAATAGACAATTATGGAATGGAGCATTTCATTTGCAATTAAACAACCCAATACTGATGCATAGAATAATTCTTAATTATGAAGTTCAAAAGAAATAAATGGATAAACTGTCTAAAGCAGCTATATTCTCCCCTTCTCAATATTGGAATTTCATTAAAATGTGAGAAAATAAAAAACAAACTTAAATTTTTCAATAATATACAATTTGTTTCTCAAAAACTTCCAAAGAGTCTGGCTAGAGACATTTCTAGGTGAGGATCTCAGAGAGAGGAGATTTATGAAACCCTCAACATTTTACAGGAGATTCTCTAGGTTGTAATCATGCAGTTAGTGCATTTCTTTACTAGGTATCTCTTGGTAGAAACAGCTCAATTCTTACACCCTGTCTCAGGCTTAGGTGACTACACACTATTCTCAGATACTAAAATAAGCTACAATTTTCCCCAGAGAAATAAATACTGGATTTCTACACCCACAACACACAAATGCAAATTGAATTCTTGCCAATTCATGTATTTTCATGAGGAAAAATGGAAATATTCTCATGATTCTGCTGTTCTATATTTTTGAAGAAAAACAGAAAGAATAGCCCATCATAGGTGCTATTGCAGAGATGGGTTTTCTTTGTCTGGCAGATTTAGTTGCAGGTTTTACAGAAGAAATAATTCTGGCTGTATTTTCACCAGTGCAAATGGAACTACCTGTGTTGCCTTTTAAAACATTCCAAGTTCTTGCCCTGGCCAGTTTGGCTCAGCGGTTGGAGCATCAGCCTGCAGACCAGAGAGTCTTGGGTTCGGTTCCCACTAGGGGCACGTACCAAAAAATAAAATAAAGAAAAAGTAAAACATTCCAAATTCTAATTTTTAAACAAGAAAATATGAAGCCAGTGTGCAACCTATACGGTAGCCAAAGGAGAGCTGCCACGAGCTGAACTACTCAGCTAAATGGCTGGTTTGCATTGCCCTGGTCTTTATCTAGCACTGAGAATAGACTGCTGTTTTATCCAAAGAGGAATAAATTGCTGTTATTGTGATGTTAGCCCATCACTTGGCATTGCAATTCAAGTTTTTGTGAGAAAGAAATGTATGATCTAACTGCGACTTGACCTATGCCTTCCGAGATCCATCTAGGTGCTCTAATGGAGCAGAAAAAGTGGTGAATACAAGGACATGCAAACTGGTGGTGAAAATTTGTTTGATGATAGAAGGGAGCAGAGAAGACATTTGAGAGGCGCTGTTTTTATGATAGCTAAGTTTGTTTAACATGCAGAAGGATCCCTCCACCCCAGTCTCCCTCTAATTGCATCACACTACAGGTTTATAAAGATATGAGGACATATAGCTAACTGACTAATGACATGCCTCCTAAAGTGGGCACAGATGATTCCTTACAGATAAACATCTGAATTTCCACAAAAGGCATTAGATGCACGAGGCAAGAATATGCTTGGGTTCCCTGCAGAAGAGTCATTCTCTCTTAATCCTAGGTAGCACCCATTAAATGTTTACTATACACTTGAATTACAACATATAACAATATGTACTTACTTTAAATAAGATAATTGTGTGATTGAGTTTTATAAAAACTCCCCCCCTGGTTGCAATCTAGTTTATCAACCATTTACTCAAAATTTCTCTGGAAAGGACCCGTTTTGAAAGAGGCCTGGAGAACAGCAGCAGTTAGATTTGAGCCCTGATAAAGGCTCACTTTTCATTCATAGTCAGAGCCTAAATGTGCTCTTCTTGCACCTAAACAGATAATAAGCACTCAGCACACTCCTCCTCCTTGACACAACACATTGAGACTAATCACACATAATTGGGGAGGAGGAGCAGAGGGCCGGCCACGCTATTGTGTCCAGAGGACAAATGGTCAGTTTATGAGGCTTTGGGCTGATGTAGTCATTTCTTATACATCTATAGGGGAAAAACCATCCCGTTTAAAAGGAAAAAAAGAGCGAGGGAAACAGAAAATGAGATGGCAGCTTTGACACAATTAATTTGGGGGACGTTGGAAAGATAGGTTTTATTTGTATTAACCAGGATAGGATTGTCACGTTTAATTTTACAAATTAAAAACTGTCACCAACATAGAACAAAGACCAAGATAAAAATGGGGGTGGCAGTCACCAAAAGAAATTCTGTCTCAATTAGAGGTAAAAATCTTTAGGTTGCTCACAAGTTCAACTCAAACCTCAGACAGGCTGCTTCTCGGGGATTTAAAGACGAACAAAGGTTTGGTGCAGGAAGAGCCACAAGCAGACCGAGAAGAGAGGCTGGGGAAGACTGTGGGCGAGGACAGGTGGACCCCATCACCCACACGTGGAAGGTTGGAAAGGTTGGGGTGGGCCAAGTCTTGGGGCTGGAAAGTCTCGGGGAGCCAATGCTTGCTGCATATTACAGGTTTCCGTTTCTGGAAAATATTCCCTGGGCACTCGATGTTTACTTCATCTTTCGAGCAGTTGAATCTTCTATCCACTTTTGGTTAAAATAAGCAGAAGTGGGTAATGAAGGTTTTCTTCGTATGTATCCCGGTTTTCCTTTTTCAACTGAAACAATCATAGGAAAAAAAGGTAAGGAGACTCAGATTAGGAATCTTCACCGGTCGATTTTAATGTTGAATATAATGAAAACTTCTTACCTAAATATGTTGTTTTGGAAATTTTAAAATTAAAAACAGCAATGCAAAGTAGTACTCAGTAGCACTGACATGTCAACACTACACATCAAGATGAGAATCTTTTTTTTTTGGGGGGGGGGTAGGGTGTTTTTTCATGGACAGCCACACTGCTTCTGTGACCTCCATGAACTAGGGGTACTCCAGTGAAGGCAGACCTGGGGTCTGTTCATCGTCACCAGGTCAGCCATTTGGCACAGAAGTTTCTGCTGTGGGTCCCCTCCGTCGCCTGCCAGTGCCCCAGGAATCAGGCAGGCCCCTCGGACCCTGTTTGGAGACTGTACGACACCTGGGCATGAGGGCAAGGCCTGTGGGGCCTAAGATATTTCAAAGACTCTCCAGCCACTTCCTAGGGGTTTTAATATTAATGACAAGTAATTCAAAAATTCTTTTCTCTGAGGAGAAAAATGTATTCCAACAATTAGAGCGGCAACCTTTGATACCACTCAGGTGAAGTCCTGAGGGCCTCCTCGGGACAGCTTTTACAATCTGATTAGCAGTCTCAAATCTAAAGTATACTTTTCCTCATTGGCTAGAATAATTCAGATAGTCGTATTTATATGTATTCTAGCAAATAATAATTCGCTATTTATAAAGACAA